CCTGTAGCTTCATCACACACTTCCACTGCGTAGCCAGTGACCGGAGAACCACCATCAGATTTCGGCGGGGTCCATTCAACGGTGCAGGAGTTAGCAAGTACATTCTTGACATAAACTTCCTCAGGACCATTTGGTTTGGCTAAAAATAGGGAGGTAATTCGAGAGAATTTATCCGAGAAAAATGTGGATTGACACAATGAGTAAGAGGAACTCCTTACTTTGTTTGGGCACAATTTTGCGGAGTTCCGATGGAAGGGACGGTTCACCTGGACCAGCGGCATTAACTGCACGGACACGAAATTCGTATTCTCCGTTTGGTTCCAACTGATCGACGGTTGCAGTCGTAGCGGATGGAGGCAGAGTGGCCGCCTTACTCCAATCGTCATCTCCCAATTTCTTCTTCTCCACTACAAAGCCTGTAATTTTAGACCCACCATCACGAAGAGGAGCGGACCAAGAGAGCTTGACTTGATCCTTGTCTACGTCGTCCACGCGAGGTTGTCCCGGAGCATCCGGAGCATCTACAGAGTCCCAATTTTAAGTAAGAAGGTACGTATGTTCGCTATTTCAAATGCTCCATCCTTAGTCGAACTCTTTAATACAACATCCTGAACTCCTAGCTCCGTAATGCAGTAGTTTTGATCTTCAAAATTACACTTGCTGAGATTATCATAGAGCTTAACTTTGATTTAGAGCGGGGATTAGCATACATAAATTGTTTGCGGAATGAATTCCGATGCGAATCTCCAAAAAAATAACTGTTTTACTAGTAACCAGCGCTTCATCATTTAGTTTTTGCAGACATTGCTGTCAGGGGATTCAGAAGGGCAGTACTCTCGAAACAGGTATAACTTGCTTTAAAATAGCAGTGCTAATAAAGTAATGAACAATATCGACAGCATACTCACCGTATTTGGGTTTGCAGAGCACAGGCCTGGTAGCCTGACTAGGCTCGCCGGTGCCAGCGGAATTCTTGGCGCTAACGCGGAAAGTGTACTTCTCGCCCTTACGTAGACCACTAACGGTTGCAGTGGTGTCCTTCGTAACTGGCGCTTTAATCCATTCATCGCTGCTAGCCGGTTTATACTCTACTGTGTAACCAGTAATCTTCGAACCACCGTCCTGTCTCGGCTTGATCCATGTTAGCGTGACCTCTTCTGCATCAACGTCTGCTACTTCAAGGCCATTTGGTGCACCAGGAGGTACTAAAGACATCAGAAGC